CTCCTTCTCCGGAGCGGCCGGGTGGTGATTGTTGATCAGGGGCTTGTTCACTTCCTGGAGCTCTCGGTCTGGGTTTTCGGGGTCCTTATCGAGGGCGCTGGGGCTCTTTTGATGACGGCTGCGGCACACAGCGTAGCCGAGGAGGAAGACTACGATGATCATGATTGCGCCCAGCACCACGTACGATGCGATGGTATTCATTGACATTGCTGCATCCTTATTCAGAGCCTCAGAACCATCCGCACGATCCTCGTCGGCTTCCGCTATGTTGCCCTTCTTGGCGTCGTCCATGCCGGGTGCGACGTCCACGTTAAGATCTCCGTCTTCACCGGCGTTGGCGTTCTCGTCGAGAGCTTCTGCGTCAGTATCGTGCACGTCGTCGGCACTGGCAGGGCTTTCAGCGGGCACCAGCGCGCGTCCGGAGTCACTTCTGTCGCGCCCTTGTGCATCCTCCGGTTCTCCCTCGGGGTCCACCGCTCCTCCTTCCGCAGGGATCGCTTCATCCTCTTCAGACGGAAGTGGTTCTTCTTCCCGCACGCCCGGAGGCGCGGCCTGCGGGGGCATGTGAACTCTGCGAACAATTTCGTCCTCCGGAGCAACCACCGGAGCCACTGTAGTTGCCTTATCGTTGTAGTCTAAGCCGTCCATACCCTCGTCGACCTCCACATCGGTGTCTTCAGGTCTGTCCCGGCCAGGGAGGACTGGAATGAACACACCTTTGCCAGAGCCGTCTTCGTCTTCGTCGTCTGGCTTCTCAGTAACGTCTCCCGTGATGGCAGGCACGTGACCACGTGGTTCCGCCTGGCCAGAACCCTCGTCTTCTTCGTTCGAAGCGGGTTCTTCATCTCCGCGGTCGAGTGGTACGTCACCAGCGACCACGGCCCCGGCACCCGATCCGGTGTATTCTTCCTCTGAGGCGTCGTCGCCGGCGGCGATGACAAGTGGCGGCTCTTCGCTTGGGTCAACCCTCGCGGCCTCGTCCACTCGCTCACCGGAATCGCCAGCCACCTCCTTGGAGTCGGCGTTGCCCAAAGGTGGGACTGCTTCATTCTCATTTGCATTGTCAGTTTCGGCGGCGTCAGCCCAGTCGTCCTCATATTTGTGAGTGTCACCTGCAGTGTCTTCCAAAGCATCGAGCACATTCCCACTGCCTTCTTCCTCGCTGTCCTCATTGTCAGTGGGGGCAACTGATAGAGCGCCTCCCGGCGATTTTCTTTGTTGCTCATCTCCTTCAATCACTTCCTCGTATTCTTTTGGTTCGTCGCCATCTGTATCACCAGTGCCTTCAGTTTGACTCTGGCCTGTATGCTTATTTTCATTTTCATCTAATATGTCATTTTCTCTTTCCAATTCATCATCATTGGTGTCAACATTATCATCTTCATTTTGTTTGTCGCTGGTCTGCGGCGGAATTATAATAGGCATTTCATCTCCGTCTTCAACTTTCTCTTCGGTTGGTTCATTATCGGCAGCATCGTTTGTGTGTTCGGCTCCACTGATTTCTCTATCAATATCTTCGTGACCTAACGTCGCATGAGATCGGTCGCCTTCCAACTCTTCTTCAAGTGTTTTCTCCTCCTCTATGTTTTTAGTTTCCTCTGCGTCATCTACAAGGCCAGTTCCCAAATTTTCACTTTCTTCGACATTTTCATCCCCTTCTCCTTCTTCAGAACCATTGTTCAATCCGGCAGCTACTAGAACGTCGCTGTTCTTCGCATCTTCATTTTCTTCCTCAGTATTTTCTTCTCCTTCGTTTTCGATGGCATCGACTCCGGTGTTACCAGCAGCGTCTGTATCATCTTCATTATCCGGATTAGGGTCAAGGGCTTCAGTTTCTTCTTTATTTTCATCCTGTACGTTAATACCAGCGGCGAGAATACTCGTGTTTCCATCTTCATTGGCATCGCCATCAGGTCCCTCGTCAGCGTCTGCGGCGTCCACTTCGCGATCTTCGGATTCCACTCGCGCCCCCACGCCGCTTGAGTGCACAACATTGTCATTGCTCGGCACGTTTTCCACTTCATCATCCGTTTCGGCATTGCCCGCTTCATCTGAATTGTCTTCTCCTTCATTATCATTAGTTCTTGAAGGTACAACAGCCGACAGAGTGTCATCCTCATTGTTCACTGTGTTGAGGGCATCGTCGTCCTCGTTCTGCGTCTCTGTCTCGTCGTCATCCGGGACATCTCCGTCAGCGTTGTCTGCGTCCTCTGTTTTGGGGTCGGTTTCCATTCTCGCTCCTTCTCCAGCAATTGCAGCTCCTTGTGAGTTACCAATATCAGTTTCTTCAACATCGGCATCAAGAGTGCTGTCTGGTACTGCAGCTGCGGGCATTGTGTATGTGTGCTCCGGAGTATTTTCTTCTTCAGTACTTTCTGCTTCTTCTGGAGTTTCTTTAACTGGGTCTTCATTGCCAGAATTTGGTGCATCAGGTATTACAGCATCCCGCGTTTCGGCATCATCATCATCAATGTTATCGTCCTTGGGAGGATCAGCAACTTCTGGTGCGGAGTAGTCTTCAATCTCTGAATCTGTTGGTTCCTCCAGCGGAGGATCAGCAACTTCTGGTGCAGAGTAGTCCTCATTATCTGTTTTTATTGGCGCTTTATCTGGCACTGGTTCTTTATTGTGCTCTGACTCATTTTCACCACCAGTCTCTTTATCTTGACTAGCATTTTCATCTTCCGTTTTTATGTGGTTGTAAGCAGAAGCTGGCAGACTCTCCGGAGGATCTTCTTCAGCTACGTCGTCATCGTTCTCCGCAGCAGACTCCTCTTCTTCGGCATTGTCTTCTTTGTCGGAAGGATCGACAGGATCGACAGGTTCAACATTTGACGTTTCTTGCGCGTTCTCATCTACATCGTCTTCGTTCTCCATATCGTCATTTCGTATGGCGGCACCAACGTGGGTACTTTCCACATTTTCATCATCTGCAGGTTCTTCTTCTTCCCCATCTGCTGGTGGTTCAGCAGCTTCCTCCCGCTGCTCTTCAGTGTCGTCGGCTTCATCCGGTGGCGTGTCCGATTTGGCATGCGGTGCAGCGTGATCTACCACTTCTCCTTCCTCTTCGTTGATTCCGTCATCCAACACAATTTTTTCAGTCTCTTTTGAAGACTTTCTTTCCTCAGCAATACCATCAACATCTTCAGGCTCCTCATCAGGTTCATTCTTTTCTTCTGCGGACGCAGCCGGAGCCTCGGGTTCCGTTTCTTCTGCCTCATCCCGAGCGTTTTCGACAGCGGGTCCTTTCGGCTCATTGGCGAGTTTGTCGGGAGGTTGTTCCGGTGTTTCTTCCTCTTCTTCCTCAGTATCGGCAGCGTTGGCGTCACCTTCGGCATCGTCTGCGTCCGTTTCTTCTACGGGGTTGTTTACGGTATCAACGGTGTTCTCTGGATCGTCTTCTTGTGGGTTGGTTCCCAGATCGTCACCGTTGGCGAGTTCTTCAGCAGACAGTGCTTCATCGTCCAACTCATTCCCTGCTTCTCGCTTAACTTTTTTATGACCTGCACATACTTGATGTTTTTTAATTTTCAACAAATCCTTCCCCATCAGTTGCTTGGGATAGGCGCATACGACAGCTTTGTTCATATTGTATTCAAACGATATCTTGAGCAGCTCGCAGGTACAGTGGATGGGGTTCTCCGCCAACTCTATCGAGTCGACGTTCTCGAGCTTGTTTAGTTCGGCTACGGAGACGCGGTCGATGTCGTTGTGGCTCAGGTCGAGGGAGACGGCGCTTCTTGGGAAGGCAGCCGCGACGAACTCGCGAATGAAGTTGCCGTCGAGCACAATGTGGCGGACGTGCGTGAGGCCCGCGAAGACGGTGGGCGGGAGGGCGCGCAGCTTGCAGCGGCCGAGGTCGACGAACTTGAGCGTGCGGGAGGCGAGCGCCGGCGCGACGCCGTGGGCGGCGCCGAAGTTGTTGCCGCGCAGCGAGAGGCGGCGCAGGGCGGGCAGGTCGCGCAGCGCGCGCGACACCTCGTCCCCGGCGCTCAGCGCGTTGTGCGACAGGTCCAGCGTCTCCAGTTGGTTGAGGCCGCGGAACGCGCCGGGGTACACCTACAAGAGGATCAAGCATTATACTGATTACGATTGTATCAACAATAGTGAAAATAAAACGTGGAAACGGTACGATGAAACGTGAAGAGGAATGGAACGGTGCAATGGGGAGACAAACTGTAATCAATTAAATGGTTCAGGAGGGTAATCTATTTTTCAGATTTTAGAAAATATATATGATGCACAGGTGTGCGAATGTATATATTAGAGACAACAGATGGCAAATAGCTTTTTTATGTATGTAATTAATTCACGAATATTTCCGACAGACATAAGAGTCCAGAATAATTACAAAATCGAATGGAATGTCACCAATTTACAGTAAAACGTAACATCTGCAAGATGTGAGGAGTAGAGTCTATAAAACTACATTTTACTTAAGAAGGTAATAAAGAAATATGTAAAAAGTAACGTGGAGACCGGACGAAAATAATACTTCAAAAGGGAATATACACTCACTAATGTTTTGAAACATCAAATCTAATTATGACGATCGTATAATTGTCCAACTTATTTTTTAATTATTAACAACAAATATTTCAATAAAATTTAAAAAGACTCCGAAGTTATCGACTTAAATGACAAATTTGCAATAACAAAATAAACAGAATTTTTAATTGTCATAATTACATTATCCTATTTTACTTTTCGTGATCGTCACAATTTTCCAGTTCTTCACAATGACTCAGCGTAGGATGGGTGAAGTTGAATTCCAACGTAGGTGAAGGGAAGGGAGGGAAGTCTGGGCTTCATCTCGGTAGCCAGCTTTGAGCAGCTATGACGGCTTCCGTCATCACGCCACACAAAGCAAATTCCCATGCCTTTAATTTTGGTGTTGATGCTCGCAACTGGATACCTGTGTCCCAGCTGATTGTATACCAAATAAAAGTTATTTACGAGCAGTAATTTTCTTATAAAAATTTCTCAGATTATTCCTGGTTTTCATATGACTATACAACATATTTTCCTGATGCGATTTTTAATATTTCATTATATTGAAACCAGTCTTACACGACTTGATCAGCTCTCTGAATCCGGCACAAGAAAATACAAATTAACAATATTTCCGCAACAAATAAAAATGGGGAAAAATTATGTTCTACTAATATTTTTAGGGACAACTTTCTAATTTCATAAGTATCTGAAAATTTCTATTGAGTCATCAACAAATTTGCTTATTTTTTCGACTTTTCAAAATCAATGAAATTCTCTGATTTTAGCGGGTTTTCCCAAGTTTATCACACCATGTTTAAATCGAAGAATGGATGTCAAAAGGAACGCATGTTAAGGGCGCTCACCTTGACGAGCCCCAAGTGGTCGAGGTGCAGCTCGCGCAGGCCACTGAGCGCGCGGAAGGCGCCCTCCTTGACGCTGAGGTGGTCGTCGAAGCGCGACAGGCGCAGCACGCGCAGCCGCGCGCCCAGGGCGAGCGCGGCGGCGGGCGAGCTGCAGTTGGCGGCGGTCTCGTCCTCGGCGCCGGCGGCGGCGAAGCAGCGGCAGCCACGCGGGCACGCCCCCTGCGAGGGCTCCTTCGTGGGCGCCGCCGCCGCCAGCGCCAGCAGCGCGCACAGCAGCAGCAGCGCGGCCCGCACCGCACCCATTGTTGACGGGGGCGCTCCTGCAACACGCGCACCCCCCTCGTCAGACAACTTCAACTACCCATGGGACGGTCGGGACAAGTAAAATCACTACCAGCTCCAGGGATAATGAGGGGAAATTTTTTACATTTATACAGGGATGGAAATGACTGCATTATTTTTAATGTTCACTTTAGTAGGATTTATGTATAACAACAATAATAATTATTATAACTCCAAACTCGTACGTTTGGTGGCACTTAAGCAAAAACGGTACAAATTTAAAAATGAATATATATATATATATATATATATATATATATATATATATATANNNATATATATATATATATACACATCCTTCACTACTCAGTAATTTATACATTAACGATAAGTACATGCAACGCACCCTCGTTGGCCTTACCTTATCCTCAAAACCGTCACTGCACTTCATCGCTCATCACTGCTCCCTACACTTGTGCTCTAGACAACTCTCGAACGCGAAAACATGACAACATTATTAGATCTTTTGTCTATAAACGTGGTTCTATGATCTAGCAGGAGTAGGTCTTAGCTAATTTAAACGTCAATTTTGTTCTTTGAACGTATAGAATCCTATATAACAATACTGATAGAATATGCAATTTTACATTCTCGTGTTCTCTTATATAGAGAAAGTATTGTAATGGTTTTTTTCGTTAGAACAACTCATGTTCCTGTAAGTTGAATGATTTTACTCAGCGACTTCCTACAACTACAATATTGAAGATATGTATATATATATATATATATATATATATATATATATATATATATATATATATATATATATATTAAAAAAATGGGTTTGCCAAAAATATATGTTTAAATAAGATGTATAATTTATATGTACAATAGTACATTGAATGTCATCCGAATGTAAAGAAGATGCTTGCAAGCCTTCACCCACGTTTTTTTCTTTCTTTTTTCACTACTATAAACTTACAAAAAGTTTTGCTAACAAGGTTATCCATCAGCTTCCGTGAAATTGAAATCACGTTTAAATTCTGCAAGAGATGTCTTCCATACTAGGAAATAAAGAACAGGAAATTTACAAAATAACGGAGTCGCGTTATCCGAAAGAAACGAATTCCTTTATAACCAGTGAAGGGTAGAAAAGTGACTGTCACATGATATTGGAATGTAGACACGAAAAGAAATTCCTGAAATTCCAATAAAACATGCTCTACTTAAATTAATTCACGGCGATTTTGATTAATTAAAATATGTGAATATAGACTGTCTAAACGCTTCTATCGTCAGTTCAGTCAAAAATCATCGTAGCCAATTTGTTACGTAGTATTACATACTACTGCACGCATAAAACATGATCTACTCCAGAAAATTTGGTACAGTTTAAAATAAAAGGACTGGAACCAGGAAAATTCACATTTTAAAATTTGAATTAGTATAGAGCATTTTTGATTGTGTCTTGCCTGAAATCGCCTGATGATATAACAGTCATACAATATATCTTTCAGATAAGTTTCTAGAAACCGATCAGGATTACAACATAGATGCCTTTTGCTTATATCAGAAAGGAATTTGTTTGTTATCAGAACTTTATTTATCGAGGATCCTACAAACCGAGATAACATGACGTGTTGAGATGCTTGTTAAACATGATGATGTCCTCAAAGACAAGTATTCTTCGAAATAATCAGCATTTGTTTGACAGGTCGCAGAGCGGCACGACGAATTGGCAGGGCCTTTTACTGTAGTGATTTCTAGGCGCTGCGCGATTTATTTGGTCCTGGGTGAGATCGTGATTGACGTTTCAATTCCCTGCACTGGAGACGAGGAAGGAGAAAGCGACAACAATGCAAAGTAAACTGCCGCTTGTCATTTCGTCTCGGATCGACTGTCTCACGCAGCCGTGAAACTACTTCCCGTCTATGGGATTCTTATTGTACACTGGATACAGCCCAACACCTTTGTCTTGTCAAGCAGTGCACATCCTTAACACCATGCCCGTAGTCAATTTTTTCGTAACATAAGAATATATCTACACATTTATCATTTACGCTTCGTAGTATTATTGACGCCCATTAATAATTTCTGTAGGTCTTAAGAATCTCATAAAAAGAATTATGAGGTACTTCAATATTTTACAATATCAACAAATAACTTAACTCTTCTGCCTTAAAATCTGGTTACGGCGATTCTGTGTTCAAAACGTAAACAACAGCGTTTCTTCCACAAATATTATTTTGGTAAGAAACTAGCGACAAAAGTGAATACTCTCATGGAAACATACCATTCGGGATTCAACTACTCGTATTTCCATCTATCTTTTGATCCCCCGCGAATCCCCTGAGGTGAACGACCGCGCCGCCTCAGATACCGAACCCTCTCTGACGGGAAAGTAAATTTGAAAACAATTCGGAGAGTGATAAACATATCGGGAGCAAACAGCAGTCGTCGGCGAAAGGACCAATTATCTGCCTGAGGAAACGCGAGCTGCGTTTATGCCTTGTAGGACGGTTCTTCAGCCCCTGACCGCACAAAGGTACGCCTTATCCTCGCAGAGCACGCGGCGGCGCCACGCCCGAGAGGAGAGGCACTCGAGGGCGAGAATGAGGACGTAGCAGGGAGGATGTTGAGGGCGGGTGAGGGGAGGGGATGGGGTGATAGCAAGGACGAAGACGAGGAAACGGCGGAAAGGAAGAGGCGGGGTAGCGCGTGTCGGATGATGGCGCGGATGAGGTGACGGGGCGGGAATGGAGCAAGGAAGGCGGTAGTCGGCGGGATGGGTGATAGGACACATGTAGGGGCGAGAATGAAGGAATCGGCGAGGGCGGGAGCAAGAGTAAGGAAGAGGAAAGGGCGGGATAAAGGCGGGGCTGGAGCGAGGAGGTGGCGATGGCAAGGGCGAGGGAGGGAGCGGGTCGCCACCGCCGGCAGGTCGCCGCGCGGGTGGCGTCACCGGAAGGAAGCAGGGTGGGTTTGTGGCGGGGGCGGGGGCGGGGATTCCCCTTCCGTCCCGCGCACTCTCGACAACGAAGCGCCGCCGCCTTCCTCCGGGAGTGCGGCTCCTTCAAGGAAGTGACCGGTTCCTGTGGATGTGAATTCGACTGCTGAAATTTCCAGATTTAATTCTAATGAAGTGTTCTCCTTTCCGAAGCTCAAAGGTTAATCCTACTAATTAGCTGATGATTTGAATTCGTGATAGCCATTCTTCTCTTTCCGAATTCTTATCTCCCTTTTACGGAAATATTAGAGTAATTAGGAAGAGTTGGGATGTTTTTAATTCTCCATAGATGTCATAGATATCAAAAGTAGGGGCACACAAGGGTACACTGCAAAGAAATCCCTAAATACGTGAAATACGGTGAAGATCACTTCGCAGGAGACTGCAAGAAGAATAGAAACAGCGGAAATCTGCACTTTATGTTCAGATAATTATCCAGCCAACAACAAATGATGCACACAATACAATATATGAAAAGTACAAATCAACAGAAACTAGTGGTGCTACAGAATGGAACGGACTTTCCCGTATTAGTTTTTAATTTCCTTTGGTTTCAGTTAGCTCCTCGGAAATGCCACATACCTTGCCAGCTTCCATCCCAAAGAATTATTTTTAAAATTATCCCTTAAACTTTATATTGACATTATTTAAAGCACATGCACACATAAATACTACAATGTGAACAAATTGCCGCTAATATAAATATAAACGACATGAGAGACAAGTAAATAAACATTTTTGTAATTTCAAAAACAACAACAAAAGAATAGAGCTATATGACGTTTATGTCATCTCATCTAGTACATTTAGAACTATCCCTACCAAAAGTTCAAAGAAAACATTTGGAGCAGCGTTTGAGAAAATATTTTTTTTTTGTAATGTTTTAAACTTATAAATAATGCACGCAATATTGCGTAAACACCATTAAAATTTTCAAAAAAATGTGTATAACGTTCATGAAAGAACTTACCATGGAGAACAAATTGTATTTGAAGGAAAAATCTCTAATTTCTCGCTCTCTAATCTTGAATTTTGTAGTTGTAGGGAAGACACGGGAAAAATTATACTTTTGAAAATTTCGAAAATTCAGAGTAAACCATGAAAATAGATATAATGACACGATTATAAGTGTATGTCAATCTATTCTAGCAAGAAATTTAAAGAAAAAATTTATAGCCGTTTTGAGAAAATTCTGAAAATGTCCGGAGGGCTTCATGTCAAGTACCCCCAAATTTTGAAGAATGTGTTTCAAAATCTCAAAGTTTCGACTCGAGCCAGACGGACAAGGGTTTCTTAAATTTAGAAAAAATCCTACGCATGGTTTAGGCGCTAGCGGTGTTCACAGACACAAGATGGACGGACAGACGGACGTTTTGCCGTCAATTGATTTTTCAGTACCAAGGACCCACAAAACAGGGACTTGAGCTACACCACGTGTTAGAGGATTTTTTTTTCTTAATTTAGCAACTGGATTTATCCACTTTTTCATTATCAGGACTCGGCAATGAACGTTTCTGCTGGAAATCCGCAGTTTTTTCGCGTAGCATTGCATAACTTTCCATATACTCCGTATATACGTACATATACGGGGACGTAAAACTCCACAGATTCAATTCCTAAAGAGAAGCAAATAGTCAATTGATTCAGACGTCCCTCCCCTTCCCATTCAGCCAATTCAAAATCACTTTACTCCATCATAATTCACAATCCGCAAAACAACACGAGCAACTTCATGGCAATGCAACTCCTTATCAAACGGCCCCACAAACGACCAAGAAAACCTCAGCCACGTCATTGGTAAAGCCTTCCAACGCTTCAAAAACATTTTGAAACAATCCGTGCAGATAAAAACTCTTCTTAATTTATTTACTTCACTTATATCCAAAATGCATTAAAATGCAAAAATGCTTCGAAACGCAAATGGTATACTCCAGCATCACAAAGAGGTGATTGCAGTTCTCAGCGAACATGACATAGATATCATGCTTGTATCTGAGACCCACTTCACAGGAAAAAGCTCTCTACCCGGGG